ATGACGGCGTCATTTCTCGTTAAGAAGCTCGCCACGTCAGCAGACTCTTCAGTGAACGACGTCGTTTACGAGCTTCGTGTTTTGGCTAAAACAGATCCCGGAAGCCGTGGGTTCATCGCCCAAGCCGGAGCTGTACCGTTACTCATCCGTTACCTCAACTCTGATAACCCGACTCTGCAAGTTAACGCCGTCACGACGGTGCTAAACCTGTCCATTTTCGAAGCCAATAAATCGTTGATAATGGAAACCGACGGCGCGCTGATCGGAGTCATCGAGGTACTCCGCTCCGGCGCCACTTGGGAAGCAAAAGGGAACGCCGCCGCCACCATATTCAGCCTCTCCAGTATCCATTCTTACCGGCGGAGAATGGGGAGGAAGAGTCGTGTTATCAGGGGACTGCTCGATTTGGCCAAAAACGGGCCGATTAATTCGAAGAGGGATGCTCTGGTGACCATTTTGACACTAGCCAACGACAGGGAGATCGTCGGTCGGTTAATCGAAGGTGGGGTTATGGAGGCGGTGAGCCATCTGATGAACAGCCTGCCGGAGGAGGCGGTGACGATTCTGGAAGTGGTGGTTAGGAAAGGGGGATTTGTGGCGATTGCTTCTGGTTTTTATGTGATTAAGAAATTAGGCTCTGTTTTGAGAGAGGGCTCCGATAGAGCCAGAGAGAGCGCCGCCGCGGCACTGGTGACAATGTGCAGGCAAGGTGGATCGGAAATGGTGGCGGAGCTGGCGTCTATTGCTGGGATTGAGAGAGTGATTTGGGAATTGATGGGGAGTGGAACCGCGAGAGGGCGGCGAAAGGCGGCGTCGCTGTTGAGAATACTCCGGCGATGGTCAGCAGGTTTGGATGGAAACGGCGGCGCTGGAGTAGAGTCCATGACAATTACTTCGTCGAGAATGGGTGGCGACTCAAACCCCATTGTTAGTTCATCAAGAGGAGCAATTGTGCATGTGTAGAAGAGAAGGTTTCATCCAAATTCTTTCCCATAGATTTGTTTGTAAATTAATGTGTTCTTTATTTGTTCTTAGTTTGAGTTTAAAAAAAGGCCCAAAATTGTCTTTGATTAGTTTGATTTGATTTGTTCACTCTATAATGATTTGTATGTAGTTGAACTCAGAAAACATGAATTCATTTGTAAAACATACCATATTCATTCCAAAAACAACTCGGTTTTTATAATGGTCACTATAGCCTCACTCCAGCACGCTCTCGCTATTGATCATCCATTCACGATCACTCTAAAAAGCAACAATAGCAATAATGTGTAAGAGTCGATGAGATGAAGAAAGACAAGAATATGAGAAAACAACTTAGATAAACAATGAGAACGTCATTTGAACAAAACAAAAACAAAGTTGTTGTGAGATCTCACTCAAATTGTAGAGAAGAAGAAAGCATTCCTAAGAGTGTGGAAATCCCTTTCTAGTAGACGTGTTTTAAAATCGTGAGGTTGACGACTATACCTAACGGGCCAAAGTAGACAATATTTGACAGCTATACCTCACGGGCCAAAGTAGACAATATTTGCTAGCGGTGTGTCAGAGGACGCTGGCCCCAGTAGAGGTGGATTGTGAAATCTCATTGGAGATGGAAACAGAGTATTATTTTAAGATGCGAAGTTGACGACTATATTTAATGGGTGCATTCTTTTTTACGTTCATAAAAATTATAATTAGTTACTTAGATAGAGAGCAAATTGATTCAATAATAAACTGAATTTATTATTATTTATTATATTTGTATATTAATTAATAAATCAATCCATTAAAATAATAAATAATAAATATTTTTACGTTTAAATTTAATTAAAAAAATATTGATAATTAAGTGATTTAATTTAACAAAAAAAATTAATACTAATATATTTATGTTTAATAATTATCTAAAAATAATCAATAATGAAAAACCAACAAAATATAGCAAAAAAAAGTTTATCCATTAATTTGAATATATTAAATGATTTTTTTTTTCAAGAAATGTCTATTCACATGAACATTTTATCGAAATATTTCTTTAGCGAGACTCCAATATTTCCATCAATTCGACATTTAAAACCTTGTGTTTGAACATAAAATTTAAGAATAACGTGTAAAGTCATCTGCTGACGTCAAGAAACAAGAACAAAAAAAAAAAAAACGCTCTAAAATATCAACATGAATAACATAAAAAAAAATAAAAACATTAGAAGAAAACTACGAAAAATAAGATTATCCTAAGCTTGTGACGTGGATGAACAACGTTAGATTGAGAAATTATAAGCACAAACAACTTGGTTGATTAGTATTAATAGAGACATTATTGACAACACGTCCACTTGAGCATCAAGTAAGTAGGGACTATGAGATAGACTTGTCTCGTCAATCGTCCCAAAGTCACCTTATCCGAAACAATTTAAATGGGTCGAAACTTGGACAAACTAATAACACTATGGAGAGTAAATGAATAAAAAGGACAACCACCGCCAATAGACTTAATGACAATGAGATATCGTCTCTATGGTAAGGTGACTACAGTAGAACCGAGCTCTAGAAAACCAAAAATAGATTGAGTTATAAGGTGTAGATAAATGTGTTCAAGGAAAACGTGGTACAAGAGACTCCGTTTATATAATAATGTCAGAACTTGAATTCCGACGCTTCAGAATTCAAATCGACGTAGGAAAGTGTTCGAGAGCAGCATGTCACAAAGGGGGTCGTTTCAAAGTTTCAGTTTGTCTTTCGTATTTCATTTTGTAATTGTATCCCAACTCGTTTTTCTGTAATAAATTTGAAGAACACGGTGTCGTTCATTTATCTTTTTGGTTTTGATCTAGATTCTTAAAGCGTTCGAAAACTTGGGTCGTTATCGTAATTAAAATACGTTGAATTTAGCAAATTATTTGAAAGGGATGAGAGGGCTTTAAATGGCAAAGACTTTGAAAGCCCATAATACACATTAAAAGTCTTCTTCTCTTTGGTTGATGGGCCTATAACTTTAGAGCCTTTGGACCATCTCATGTTCTTAGGAAAGCAACTCCCAACACAACTAGGACCTATTCGATCAACGTTAAAGGAGACGACTTATGACACGTTCTAATCGTGCACTAGCTTTAAGTGAGGCTGGAGTCATATTTAAGGCTTAAACTCTTAGGTATGGTTATTGTCAAGTCCAGAAGACTACCTATAGCAAGACGACGATCGTTACTTTAGGGTTTGAACCAAAAAGGCTACTAGTAGCGACACGAATAAGACGACTTTTTAAGTTCATGGATGTACACGATATTCGTAGAGAACAGAGACACGTGTTTCATAATATTTCTTATTTAAGCTGTAAATAAGACGATTTTTACGACATGGGTTTGAGCCATTTAAGACAACTTAGCCATACCATTGAGAGAGAACCAAATAGGAGGTGTGAAGTTGAACACGTTAAAGGTACTCGTTACCCTAAAGTTGGATGGGACCATTGGTTGCAGGACGTATGTCCTATAATTTGTGGGGCAAATGCTTGGTTTTAAGGGTAAGAAAGAATGTCTCCTCCAATCCATTTAAACATCATCTCTGCCACAAAACTATACAACTTGGTTTCCTTTTCCTTTATTTATCCCCACATTCACACATGTTTTCCTTCACTTCATTTCATTTCATATCACCTTTTTCACTGTCTATGTACCTCATTTTCTGTCTTCAATTCAATCCCAAAACCCGACTTTTATAACCCTACGTCTTAATTTTATAACAACGTGTTATTGGATGTATTGATGATATGCTAGCCGTGATGTATTTTTGGTACTAGTTCTGTCCTCGAACCAATTTTTCTATGTTCTCTCCCCTTGTAACAACTCAAGCCCACTATTAGCAGACATTGTCCGTTTTGGCCCGTTACATATCTACCTTCATAAAAAATGTTTTGTTCTCCTCTCCAACTGATATGAAAACTTCCCTTGGGGGCCCAATGTTCTTGTTGGCATACCGCTCAGTGTTTGACTCTGATACCTTTTGTAACAACCAAAGCCCACTGTTAATAGATATTGTTTATTTTAATCTGTTACGTATTGTCGTCAATCTCACAGTCAAGAAGAGGTTTCTACACCCTTTTAAGAAATTCTTCGTTCTCCTCTCCAACTGATGTGAGATCTCACACCCCTGTTCGTAGTGGGTCCCCACAGGATTCCGACTCCACAAATTAAGTAAGTAACAAGACTATTGGTTAGTCGAGAATTCAGTTACTTTATATTTCAATTTCTTTGAAGTTTGAACACCAAATTCGATATAGAGTCATTCATTACGAGTTTCAAAGGAGAAAATGACTTTCCCTAGACGAAGGTACGAAGATAATAATAATTTTTCAAGCCTTGTGATTGGCTTGTTTGGGTATTGAAGCATTATCCAAGCATGGGCTAGACTTGGAATGGTGACAAACTCTCGACACCAACACATTTCTTTTGTCTTTTTCTTTTATATTTCACTAACAAAATTATAAAAATCAATACTTTACTTAGAAAAAACAATTAAAATATCGACGTCGAGATTTTAATTCAATATTGATACACGATAAAATAATAATATTAACATATATTCTTATAAATAAAAAATATTAAAATTATTTAAATAAATTATTGTTTTTTTTCATTAGATATCGAAAATATGTAGTTTTCTATTTAAAATTAAAAAAAAAATATTTTTTTTCTATAGATTTTAAAATTTAAAAGTAATTTTAGAAAATAGATAATAAAATAAAGAAATTTTTTAGTGATTTATTAGGTTTTTTTTTTATTTTTATAATTGGGTTCTAATTAAACTTCTAATGCATCTTTTTTCTCCCTTTCTCATTTTATTATTAAAAAAAAACATATTTTTTTAGTATAAAACAAAAAAGAAATATTTAAAATTAAAATGCCACGTGGACCCCACCGTTTTGCCTTTCCCCACTTTTTCTACACCGGTGGGCCCCTTCTCTCTCCCCAAATCCTAAAACCGCCCCTCTTTTTTATCTCTCCCACCGGCGACGCTAAAACAGAGCTGAGACAGAGAGAGAGAGATTGAGAATTTTTAGAGAGAGAAACTTTTCCGATGAGAAATCACAAATTCCGATTATCGGATATGATTCCAAACGCTTGGTTTTACAAGCTCAGAGAAATTGGCGGCGGAAGAGGAAGATCCTCGACCAACCAAACGCCTTTTGATTCGAAGAAAAAGCCCCGGCAGCCACCGCCAAAACAGAGGCAGTTGCAAGTGCCGTCGCCGCATTCTCACTCTAGAAAATCTTATTATTTCACCAGAGAACTCGAATCCAACGATGGGTTTTGTGTTAATTCCCCTCCGCCGTCCCCGCCGCTGCTGCCTATGCTGGTACCGGCGAGAAAGTCGTCAAAACAGGGGAAACCAGGAAAAATACAAACGAGTAACCGGTCGTCGACGGCGACGGCGGTGAAACTCCACAACTCCTCCTCCGTCGGCTGCAGCTGCCCCACGACGTCGGAGTCCATCTGGACCAAATCAGATTCTCCACCGGAATTGTCCACGTCACCCTCCGAAACTTCCCCTGAATCCGACAAAATCCTCGCCGTTGAACTCCAATCCGAATCCTTCGACCGCGATATCGTAATCGACGTGTCGTCAAACTATTCCAACAATGTCGTCGTCGGCGCGTTCGACTCCCTGTCGGAAGTTGACCTCCCGCCGATCATAACAAAGCAGAAGAAAAAAGACACAAAACAGAGGACGACGACGACGACAAAGAAACCTCCGGCGAATTCCCCCGGCGTACGGCTCCGAATCCACTCCCCCAAAATCGGGCACCGGAAAATCGGAGGCCGGAAAAGCGTGTCATCGCGGCGGAGCCTTTCCGACAGCTTGGCGATCATGAAATCATCGTACGATCCACAAAAGGATTTCAGAGAATCAATGGTGGAGATGATCGTTGAGAACAACATTAGAGGTTCGAAGGATTTGGAAGATCTTCTTGCATGCTATCTCTGTTTGAACGCCGATGAATATCACGATCTTATAATCAAAGTTTTCAAGCAGATCTGGTTTGATCTTACGGAACTTGCCGTTTGATTTTCAAATACCCATTTCAAATTCCTTGTACAGTTCTTCCCTCTAATTCTAAACAAAATTTAAATAAAATTTTTAGCTTAATTTCAACCTCTAAACATTGGGAGAAAAAAGATGCAATTTTTATTCATTTATTATAGGAAGAACACATCCTTAAAAGACAAGATCATCATGTCTTGAAGCTCCATTCTCCAGGCAATACTTTCAGCTTTATGATCCAAGAAAATGACTCTTTAAATTCCCTTCCGATCTTGCAAGTTCATCGCTAGCATACAGCTCAATATCCGGCTTTGATACCATTTGTAACAGTCTAAGTCTACCCCTACTAGATATTGTCCGTTTTAGCCCATTACGCGAGATTTCCTCACCATTTTAAGAAAGGCTCGTTTTTCTCTCGAACCAATGTGAGATCTCACAATCCACCGCCTTGGAGGCCAACGTTCTTACTGGCATATTGTCGGGTGTCTGGCTTTAATACTATTTGTAACAACCCATGACTTTAATACCATTTGTAACAGCTCGTGACTCTGATAACATTCGTAATAGTCTAAGTCCACTGCTAGTAGATATTGTCCGTTTTTTCTTGACGTATACAAACAAAACTCGTAATTTAACCGACAAACAAGTGGAAAAAGAAGCTGAAAAGAAGTGGGAAAAGAAGGTGAAAGAAAAAAGGAATTCAAAAAATAAAGTAAAAGTTGAGTTGATTTTCTCAACTTTTATTTATTTATTTATTTTATCTTTTAACTATTAATAACTAAATATTGCTGAATATTTGAAATTCATTTTTTATGTATAAATTATTTTTTTCATAAAAAAAAAAGGTTAATTAATACATATTTAACCAATTATTTTAAAACAATTCTCTTATTTTATTAGTTTTATTATTATTTTTTTAATTTTTAAACAAATAAATAATCTGAATAATGACATGGGAACTTGGATGATAATTGTACCTTCAAACATATATAGTTTAAAATTTGAAAATTTGGAGATTTCAAGAAAAAAAAAATTGAAATTTATGGTCAATAATTGAATTGACTTTTCTACATCATTTGAAGAACATTAAAATATTTAATTTCCAATATTTAAAAATTTCTACGCATCCCCAAATAAAAATAATTGATTATAACAACGTCCGTATTCACAAAAGTAAAATTTTGTATTTTTAAAACACGTCTAAAAAACTACTCATGGTCATTCCAGGATCAATCGTCATCTGTGTAGGGGTGCTTTACCTTGATCTGAATAAATAAGGTAGCATGGGATTTTTAGGGTTTGAATCATCGAGTATTACTTCGTTCTCCTCTCCAAACGATGTGAGATCTCACAATGATAATTACATTCGATTGGGTATTATGATCTTGAGTTAATTAACTATCTCAGTATATGAAAATTATACCACCTCTTCGAGATAGGGTCTTGTGACGAACACCTATCTATGTCCATGAGAATTGTACCACTTATCGTGATTTTATTTGTCACGTCCGCTCAATAATGTTTATGGGAGTTTGGACAAGTTTTGAATAATTTTTGTTCATTTAGGTAAGTTTTGTTGACAATTTTTGCATATCTATTTTCAATATTCAACCTTTTTTAAGAAATATTTTTAAATAAAGACAAAGGGTTACGATGGGAAGAACTGCTTGTTACTATGGAAGACTCATAAATTATGAACGTATGGTGCAAATTTAAATTAATCAATCTCTTAAACTCCATAATTTCATACGTTTTAAATTCATAAACGTAATGTCTCGAAAGACGTTGTTTATTTGTAGTTGTTTTTGTTTGACCTTTACCTCGAGTTTATACCCTTGGTTTGATTATTATTACCTCATTTACTATAACAACATCTTGACCTCGAGTTCATAATCTTTGCTAATTTGAATTTATCATTATACTTTAGAAGTAAAATAATTGAAGTAGATTTTATGTTTAGAGGCATTCAAATGACTCGAAAACTTGACCAATCCGAACTATCTAATTCAAACCACAAAAATTCAGTTGGGTTCCAAAAATTCTGGCATGTTCGTGGGTTGATATTTATTTTTATTGAATCAACCCGACCAACCCGAAAATAGGATTACAACCCAACCTTACGCTACTCTACTTTTAAGATTATTGTGAATATTAAAATATTTGACGTTTGTAACTAATGTTAATAATGCATTATGACTTGTGAATATTTGATATTTAATGTTCACGAGATTTTAGTTATTAATGTAACATATACCGCGGACAAGTAGAATCTTTAAAATAATTATAAAAAAAAAATAATCTGACAACTCAACCCGAGAACAGGGAACTGGGTTGAACTGAGTTGTGAACTCTATTCAAGTTGTTCACGTCACCAACTCAACCAACACAAAATTTCGAGTCGATCCAAAAGATTTCTTCAATCCATCCCAACCCGTATACAACCTTACAAAAATTTTAACGTTACAATCATGCCTAATACGACGTTAAATATTTGTGCAAATATATCCTTTTTAGCCCCTCTTTTTAAGCTTTATTCAAAAAGAAAAAGGAAAAAAAAAAAAAGAAAAAAAAAAGTTGGGTTGAAAAAGCATTTAAAAATTCTTTAATAAAAAGAAGAAAAGAGAAAATTGGGGAGTGGGGTTCATGCATGTGCATGTCTATCATCCATCTGATTCTGGATGGTACATAAGCTTTGACTTTCTTTTGTCAAACCCTATACTGCCACGTCATATCATGTCTTGTCCGTACTACCCCACGTGTCTTAATGTAAGTGGGAGAATGGGAGACTGTCGGCGACGGTAGAAAGGACAAAATAACCCGACCCGTCGATTCCTGGTTTCCATCCGACCGGGAATTATGAATTTCCATTGGGTTGGAAAATGTTTTTAATTTTTTTAAAAAAGATTCTTATTAAATAATTAATTAAACCCAATTCAGTCCTAAAATGTTTGTAGTAGTTGATCGGTACAAATTGAAGGATAAGATTTGTATTAGCCAACCGAACATCACTGTATGGAATTCAAGCTTGTTCGGTCACACACGTCGCATGCGTATGTATGATCAATCCTATAGGACACAACTGATTTGTCTCTACACTAGGCCAAATCATTTAGCTCGACCTTGTCTTTATTGAGACCAAGGTCTCTCAATGCAATGCCGCGTCCAACATCTTGGTTCCCAATTAACAAGCTCATATGTCTTGACGTCATCCCAAGTCATAGGGTGTCGTCAACCATCGTAGCTCACTCAATCATGTTATTAAGAATGAGCCCACGTGTTGTTCATAATACAAGAACATCTTGAGTACAAAATTTTACTCTCATTTATGTAATTGAATGATATAAAATGGTGTTGATGCATGGTTCTAAACAAGGTGCGCATTCGATGTGGCATTTGAGGTAAACCCGAGTTAGCTATCGAGATAATGTGTAAAATAACAACCTCGTACCAAGATGTTTCTCGAGTAAATATACCCTTAAGCTTAAGTTAGTATTAGAAACGCCTTTCATTGGAAAATGTAAAAAAATTTCTGCCATTTTTTAGGGTCCAAGACTGATGGCGGACTGAATTTCTTCCGGTTGTTCGATAGTGTCGGCCGACCTAATGTTCCCTCGGTCGGAAGTTTACAAAATTAAATATAAAAATTAAATCTTTAATAATAACTTTTTTTTTTAATTTCAATTAAAACATGATTATTAAGTGGATTCTTTAATTATTATTTTTTCTATTTGATTCTCTTTTTGTGGAATTAAATACGAATAATAGAAGCCAAATATAATATTGCAAACACACAAATAAATGTGTCAAGAAGATAATGATGATGTTCACTAAAGTACCACTCATTTCTTCTCTTTTTCTTCCATTACCTTTTAACCATAAAAAATTAGTATTAAAAAAATATAATTGAAGTATTTAATTAATAATTAAAAGTTATAAGACACTCTTAATTCAAAAAAAAAAAAAATCGTTACCTACTAATTCTGACTTAAAAGGTTCGGTTATTTGTTAATTTGTATTCTTTAAGCTATGAGTATTTTGAACTACCGCCGTTCAAGACATGGGTCACTGATGAAAGTCATCTTTAATTCAAAACCGCTATTGGAATTGAGTCGTCAACAAGTTTCGTTTAGAGATTTGAATCCTTGTCTACACTTACATCGCCCCTTTGTCATAGTATCTTGATACTAATGAGTGTTTTCATCGCTTAAAAGCTAGCCAGCGATCGTCCACTCTACTAAAGGTGTTACGAATTCGAGTCTAATCTTTTATTCCCGCTTCAAAATTTTAATTGTGTGAGATCTATATTGGTTGGAGAGGGAAACAAAACATTCCTTATAAAGGGTGTTGAAAACCGTGATCCATTTCTAGCAACGATGTGTGAACGAAACATTCCTTATAAGTCAACTCCATTAAAATTGCGATGCGGTTGACTTGAGCTGTTATAAATGGTATCAGAGTCAGACACTGAGCGGCGTGTTATAAAAGTGTGAAACAGAGCATTTTTTATAAGGACGTGAAACATCTCCCACGTTTTAAAATCATGAGGTTGACGGCAAAACATAAGAGGTTATATCGAATCGAATTAATCTCGAGAATAATTTGTTGTTGGGTAGGTCGAGATAGCCCTACTAACCTCTCCTAATACATCCAAAATTCCAATATATAAATCTTATTCCCTCTGATTTATGGACAAAATAAAACAAAAATTAATAATATATAAAGACGAAGAATAAGCCACACTATTAAAGAAAAGGAAAATTATATATTTATAAATATTAATCGCATAATTTAAGAGGCACGGAAGAAATTCGGTGACAGACCAATGACAAAGCGACAAGAATTGATCGGTGACTTAACCACGTGTGGGTGATGGGGATACAAAAATCTTCCAGAAAATCTCAAATTACAGCCGTCGCTTTATACAGGAGTCCTTTTCGGTAATAAACTGTTTTTATTGTTCTTTACCAAACTTATTTTTTTAATTAAATTTCCCCCCCTCTATTTCTCTATTATTTCAAATTGTCCCATATTTAGTACACGACGCCGTTTTATTCGGTTATAATATATTCTTTTATCATTATATAATTTATTTATTTATTTGTCCTTTCCTT